TTATGCAAAAATTATAAGAAATGTGAAAAGTTTCAGCGAGATTTTCGGCTTTTTATTCAGATCTGTTAGAATGTTTTTGAGCATGCAGTTTGATGGGGGTCAAGGCTCTTGATATTGCTTCATACGTGTTGTAATGTTCTGAGTCAGGAGCGGATGGCTCAAGACCGACCATACGTGGCGACGAGTCACACCCTGCGAGAGGTGCCCCTGCTTTTACTGAATATGGCGGATCTAGAGAGGACAACTCAATAAAACCCGTAATTCCGAGTGTCATCCGTACCGTGCTTATGGGATGAATGGCACTACGTAAGTGTGTCTTATAACAGTGGCCTCCAGATACCTGGCGCCCTCTGGTTGTAAGAAGTCTTGCTCGGGGTATTGGGGGCTATGTCCCAGCTGACATCCCTTCCCCCATACTCGTGGGACACACATGGAATGTAACAACAATTTAAATCAAAAGCCAGAAGGAGCTGCACAGCTCCAAACAATGGCCAATGCTGGCCTTTCGACTTCTGTGGAAACAGAAACCATCGCTACAGAACTGCTGGGGGCGCGTAGTCCCTCGTATGATGTAGAGATGGTGGATAATAGCGTGAGACAGGATGCAAGTCCCGTCAGAACGCTATCTGATATCTCGCCGGAGGATGAGCAGAAGTTGCTTGCCTCTCCGTTGAACAACTCATCTCACCAAGCTCGAGAGCGGGAGCGGCTTAGCGGAGCCGGTCGGAAACGCCTCAAGCGGTACATAGAAAAGGGAATGAGCTATGAGCAGGCTAGAGAAAAAGCCAAAGAACCCGTTGGCCCACCACGGAGGGGAAAAAAAACTCTCCAAAAAAGACCTAGGTCTGATAGCTCTACCCCGCAGAGGCGATCCCCGAAGAAATTTGCCAAATCTGGTGAGGGATCTGCAGGGGGCAGGCCAGCTGGGACTGCATCTGTGCCCACCGGTGAGGCAACTGTGCCGCATGCACCTGCAGATTGTCGCGGGGAGCCAGTTTTCTTTAGGGATGCACTGTGCGGAGTGAAGCTGGGTTTAGTCCCAGAGGACTATCCAACCACAGTGTGGTCAACGGATGAGCTCAGAGCTATCCAAAATGCCATCCTCAGGGCGGTCAGGAGCAACACAGTTAGCGCTGTAAAGCCTATCTTCAAGGGTTGCACCTTCCCCTCGGGATGGCTATCCATCAGTTGCAGAGATGCTGCGACCGCGGGGTGGATACGGAACACTGTTCCAAAGCTGGCACCATGGAAGGGGGCGAAGATGAAAGTGGTCGAGGAGGCAGAAACACCTCGCCGCATCATTCTTGTGGGACTCTTCCCGGAGCTGGACAGCTCTGCCAGTGAAGATGCGCTCAGTCTGCTTCAGGCACAGAATGACGGCCTGAGAATTCCGGACTGGCGCATTCTGAATCGAGTACGCAGGTCAACAATGGCGGAAATCACCATTGCAGTTGACCCGCTATCAGCAGACACGCTAAAGCACCGCGGGAACGTGGTAAACTATGGCTTTGGCGTAGTAAAACTTAGGGAGAAAGCCAAACCGTCGATGCCCGTGGTAGACAAAGATGCCGCCGACACCGAATACCCTAACTCGGAGGAGCAACCTTGCTGCTCCAAAGACGTCGTCGTAGCTCCCAGGCAGCTACCCAATGACACGCAAGTGCAGCAGAAGTCATCGGAGGTTGGCACAGAGCTACAAGTAATACACAAAGCTCCACCAATGCCTCCGAAAACAGCAACAACAACATGCCCGACCCTACAACAGGTGCTGGAAGAAGCCCAAAAGAACGTCGGACCCATCGCATCCCCAAAGCCTGCAAAACGGCCACCACTACGTGGCAGCTCCAAAGCGGCTATTTCCAGCCGCAAAGGCAAGGGAGATGCAAGGACGGCCGAAGAAGCGGTCTTGCTGAAGGGCAACAGGGGGAAGAAGGTGGCTGCTCGCGGCCGAAAAGACCGCAAGTAATGGCACCTCACCCCAAAAACTTCACAAATCCGAGGCACATTAAATGCCTCCAAGTGAACCTTCACCACGCGAAAGCAGCATCAGATGTTTTACATAGGAGGTTCACAAACGAAGGCTTAGGTGTAGCCTTCATCCAGGAACCCTGGATATTAAGAGGTGACGTCAAAGGCCTTAATATAAAGGACGGTAAGATTATCTATGCCGCCAGCTGTCGCCCAAGAGCGGCGATGCTATTAAGTAACAAACTAACGTTTCTCCCTCTTTCACAGTTCATTACGGCAGATCTCGTTGCGGTATGAGCCAAAATTCCGACTGCTAGGGGGGTGCAAGAGGCAGTACTTGCCTCCGCGTACTTCCCGGGTAAGGAGGAGATAGCCCCGACACCTGAAGTAAAGGCGCTTACTGATCCCTGCCGGCAGAGTGGTATACCTTGGATCCTCTGCTGTGATGCAAATGCCCATAGCACTGTCTGGGGGAGCACCGACACCAACAAAAGGGGTGAGTACCTCCTTGAGTTTATAAGTAGTTATAATATAAGTATTATAAACCATGGCAATGAACCAACGTTCAGGAACGCTATTAGAGGGGAAGTCTTAGATCTTACTCTAAGTAGTCAGAACATGGCAGCGTCTGTCACAAACTGGCGCGTCTCGGGGGAGATATCAATGTCGGACCATATGCACATAGAATTCGACATTGGCCACTTTCCTGAGCATGAACTAGTTTTTAGAAATCCCAGAAAAACGAACTGGGAATTCTTTCGCTTTATCATGGAAGAAGGTGGAAACAGCCATGGTGGTCAAATTACGACTGCGCACGAGCTTGAGACTGAAGCTGAACAGCTTCATTCAGACATTGGAATAGCTTTCAATAGTAGCTGTCCCCAAGGAAAGGTAAAATCCAAACGTGATGTGCCTTGGTGGAGCAAGAAGCTTGAGCAAATGAGATGCCAAGCCAGAAAACTATTCAATAGAGCAAAGAATACGGGTGATTGGAATCCGCACAAACTTGCACTAACTTCTTACAACAAAGAATTGCGGAAAAGAGCTAGCTGGCGAAACCACTGCGAGGAAATAAAGAGCCTCCCAGAGGCAGTACGCCTCCAAAAAGCTCTAAATAGGGAACACAAAAATACGATCGGCACTCTAAAGAAACTAGATGGTAGATATACTCAGCATCCGGGAGAGACTTGCAGACTTCTGCTAGACACTCACTTCCCGGGCTGCAAAGCGGGCTATTATCTAACGGAATTGGGTGTCCCAGCACGCACTTCTAGTAGAGAGCAAAGCCTTGCAACTAAACTTACCACGGTAGAAAGAGTGCAATGGGCGGTATCTACCTTCAGCCCATACAAATCACCAGGACCAGATGGGGTCTATCCTTGTCAACTCCAACAAGGAAGTAACTACACAGCCCAGTCCTCTCCAGACTATACAGAGCGTCGCTCCTACTGGGTCACATTCCCAGTAGATGGACAGAGGCTAAGGTGGTATTTTTACTGAAGGCAGGTAAACCGGAGCAAATGCCTTCATCCTACAGACCAATTAGCCTCAGCTCCTTTCTCCTAAAAGGCATGGAGAAAATCTTGGATCAACACATCAGAGAAGTCAACCTAGCGGAACGACCACTGAATAAGTACCAATTTGCCTATCAACCAGGCAAGTCCACTGAGACTGCCATTCACAGCCTTACATCGAAAATCGAAAAGGCTCTGGGGTCTAAGAACATAGCCCTTTGTGCCTTCATTGACATTTCAGGGGCTTTTGACAACACGTCATACAGGGCAATAAGAGATGCCCTGATATGCAAGGGAGTGAGCCCCATCATAATAAATTGGGTGCTTTCTATGCTAAAAACAAGGAAGATCAGGATGGAGCTGGGAGGCACGAAAGAATCTATTACAGCCACAAGAGGTTGCCCTCAAGGGGGTGTACTCTCTCCTCTTCTGTGGACTATGGTTATAGACGAACTCCTGTTCCTACTGAACGACCATGGCTTTGAAACACAAGGCTATGCAGACGATCTGGTAATTTGTGTAACAGGGCTGCATGGCGAAACGATCTCCAACCGCATGCAACAAGCCCTGCGCATTACGCAAAAATGGTGTGACACCAAAGGATTATCCATTAATCCTACTAAATCTATTCTGGTTCCATTTACCCGGAGGAAAAAGTTATCCATGACAGAATTGACTCTGGGCGGCACTAGAATAGGGCTCTCAAATGAAGCAAAATACCTGGGGGTGTGGCTAGATAAGACACTCATCTGGAATGTACATTTGGATGCAACCGTAAACAAGGCAATGAGAGCCTTCTTCGCATGCAAGCGACTTTACGGGAAGACATGGGGACTCTCCCCCAAAATGACTTACTGGTCATTCAACACAGTTGTGAAGCCGATAGTCACCTATGCATCCTTGGCATGGTTGACAAAAGCGACACAAAGAACTGCTAGCGCAAAACTAAGCAAACTACACCGAATGGTGTGCATTGGTATAACAGGGGCTATGCGGACCTGTCCTGTTGATGCACTTAGTGCTCTTGTAGGCATACCGCCCTTCCCAATTCTAATAGAGAGGGATGCTAGTCTCTCGGCACTGAGAATCCTAAACACTTCCGAGTTAAAAACCGGAAACATGACAGGTCATATGAAGGTACTTATGAAATTCACAAATGACCCCATAATGCATATGAGGGACTCAATAGCTCCGATACTAGTAATTTCTAGGAATTTCAAGGTATCTATTGCGGACCGAGCATCCTGGAGCACAGGAAACCCCTACCCAAACCCGGAGCTGAAGTTTGGTACACTGCCGGATCAAAACTTGAAGATGGAAAAACTGGAGCTGGTATATTTGGGCCGAATTTTAAAACATCGATACCAATGGGCAGCTACCCCACCATTTTCCAAGCAGAGATTCATGCGATCGATATCTGTGGCAGAGAATGCCTCAGAAGAGGCATATCCTCTAAAAACATCTGCATTATGTCGGACAGTCAGGCTGCCTTGCTAGCGCTGAGGTCCCACATAATAACATCCAAACTAGTGTACGACTGCCTCAACACCCTAAACGGTCTTGGAAGCAAGAACACAGTATTACTGGGCTGGGTGCCGGGGCACGAGGGCCATGACGGCAATGAACAGGCGGACCGCCTAGTAAAACACGGAGCCACCACATTATTCCATGGCCCGGAACCCTTCTGCGGGCTCACCAAAGCCCACTTAAGGGAGGTCATAAACAAGTGGGTCGACAAAAAATTCGACAGGCACTGGAATGAATGTCCGGGGCAAAGACAAGCTAAGCGGTTCATCTGTCCATCACAAGAAGCTTCAAAAAAGCTCATAAATCTAGGCAGGGAGGACCTTCGAACTCTCACTGGGTACTTCACGGGACATTGTTCCCTGCGTTATCACCTCAGTAAAATGAATCTTTCAGACACGAGCGTCTGTCGCTTCTGTGAGATGGACGAAGAAACGCCAGAACACATCCTTTGTGAATGTGTTGCTCTCGCTAGACGCAGACTCGCTCACCTAGGTGGTACAACACTTAATCCATTCGAAATATGGAAAAAAAGCCCACCGAAGTGCTAGCTTATATTAAAAGCCTTCATATAGGGTAAAGGGCCACGCACAATAGACCACCCTAGAGGTCGCAGTGCTCAAGGCTCATAATAATAATAATAATGCAGTTTGATAGCCCATTAAATTTCAGGGCAATAATGTGCAAGTTTTAAGTTGCTAAAGAATCTCGTTGATTAAAATTTTTTTTTTTCTTGTAGACATTTGCTAAACTACGTTCTGCTAAGAAGGAACATAGCAATATTTCAGCCTTTTTTGCGTTCATTACATTTTCAGTGTCTTCTTCTTCTTATTTGGCGCTGTAACCGCCCAAGCGATTTTGGCCGAGTTCAGCAAAGCACGCCAGCCGTTTCTCTTCTGTGCCACCTGACGCCAATTGGAAACGCCAAGTGAAGCCAAGTGCTTCTCCGCCTGATCTTTCCATCTCAGTGGGGGCCTCCCTCTTCCTCTGCTACCACCAGCGGGTTCCGAGTTGAATACTTTCAGAGCTGGAGCGTCGGTGTCCATTCGAACGACATGGCCAAGCCAGCTGAGCCGCTGTATTTTAATTCGCTGCATTATGTCCATGTCGTTGTAAAGCTCATACAGCTCGTCGTTCCATCGTCTGCGGTACTCGCCGTCGTCAACGCGTAAAGGCCCGTAAATCTTCCTACATTTTCAATGAAGTCATAACACATTGGCTGCCAAAGCCTTTTTAGAATTTTGATCGTTCAGTAGCAATGTCATTTTACAATTTTGGTCACCTGAGGCCAACAACTTATTTTTGTTCTTTTTTGTTTCTTAGTGGCTAAAAATAAGTTTTGATTACTCGCGACTTTATTTTGGTTCCTAATTTTGCAGTTATAACGGTTTTTTTGTGTCGCACATTTACGATTAAAATACCATTAAAAATACACAGCGGCCATGTGAAATACTCCAAAATGTTCACCACAGGCCAGAGAATCCAAATTCCATGTAAAATTCCATATTAAAATGTACGAAAATGTGCGA